AAGACTTCTTTTTACTTGACCAAAGCAAGCTTCTTTGAAGTCGTAAGTATGAAATTGTAATTAAAATGTGAAGGTTTTCACTCATCTGTCATAGTGGTATTACTTCATGGTATTTTACTTCAAAGGGGCTAATATGCATATGGTAACTATTTTCTTTTCCAAAGATGTGTTTGCTGTAAGTACTGATAACATGCATGTCATTTTTATGCCAAATATTACAAGATACTGCTCATCAGTATTTTCATACCAAAGACCATTAAAATATATAGGTTAGCCTGTAAGTAAAGATGAGCAGATTTGAAATAAATTTATTTAGAGGCTGATAGAGAATCTAGCTTTAGTAGCAAAAGATATCAAAGGCCTAAGTTTACATAATTAAAAGCAATACAATTATATTGGTATTTATCAGTGTTTTTATTCAAGTACTTTTTATCAGCAAATTAAAAGGAAAAAACCAAAGATATTTAAGGTTACCTCTGCATATAGGCAAATTTAGTTGTACATTAAACTGTTGTTTCTTGTTTTTATGTTAAACCAAACATGTCTCTTCAGAACCCAGTCTGTATACAAATAACATGCATGGAGACTTGTCATTTAATCTGCTGATTCAGCCACATGATGTTTTTGCCAAATGATGTGATACTTTCCAAAGCACCTTGAGTGTGAAATGTCAACAGAAATACCAGCAAGCTTTTATGTTGCAGAGTATTATGGTACCTCTGAATTAGCCCGTATAGTTCTCTTCCTGCTTTAAGCATTACCTGGTTAGCTCAGACGGCTTGAGGCAGTAGTCCCTTAATAATAGGGATGCTTTTCATCTCTAAGAATGTAAGAGGCAAACAAATCATGTCACTCTTTAAGTGGGCTATGCTTTGATAGATGTGCTCTTTAAAGTTGTTAGATTGGAATTTAGAGTTGTTAAATTGAAATGTTTGCATTGCACCAAGGGAGCTCAGTTTTCAAACTTCAGTGGAACCTTGGGTGAAGGGAAAAAATTTTTAATGAAATCTGGGGTTTTATATTTTGATTAGCCTAAAAGCAGAAATACAGCTTTATC